GTGGTAGTGGTGTAGTGGGTTAGGTTTAGTGGAGTAGGTGAGGTTGTAGTGGTGTAGTGGGTTGGTGGAGTAGGTGAAGTGGAGGTGGTAGTGGTGTAGTGGGTTAGGTTTAGTGGAGTAGGTTTAACAGCCCCCCTCAAACTCAAGGAGGTTAAACACAAACCAACTTGAGTTTGGAGAGAGTAACAAAACATGAAAGTAAACTGATAAATAAAAACAAAACATGATAGGAGACACGGTATGGTCGTGTCAGACAGTTTATGGGGTCATGTCGGACCGTTGTAGCAGGACAGTTTACGAGGTCATGTCGGACGGTTGTAGCAGACACTGTGTGGTCGTGTCAGACCGTTGTTGAAGACAGTTTATGGGGTCATGTCGGACCGTAAGCTGACCGGAATCAATGTCGGGACAGTTTACGGGGTCATGTCGGACCGTAGTAGAAGCTGACCGGAATAAATGTCGGGACAGTTTACGGGGTCATGTTGGACCGTTGTAGAAGCTTGTGGTGGTGTACCAAGGGGGCGACTTAGGGAGTGCGCCATGGGGTGGCTTGGGTGGTTCCCATGGTGTGTAACCATGCTCACCATGATACATGATATATGTATAACCCCCCCTCAAACTCAAATAGGTGTGAAGATAGAAACCTATTTGAGGTTGAAACAAAGGGAGCGAGAAAGCGGACTGTTGTAGAAGACACTGTATGAGTGTGTAGATAGGCTGCCCAAAAGATATACATGTAGATAGATATATCGAGCCCTCAAAAGTCGCGCCATTTTTCAAAAGGCGTGCCATCAAAAGGCGTGCCCAATCCATAAAAAGGTGTGCCATCAAAAGGCATGCCATCAAAAGGCGCGCCCAGGTTGTCGTCGAGCGTCAAGTGGCGCGCGATGCGCGTGGCTGCCTCGGCTATTTAACCAAGACGGAGGCTGAGGCCGAGGCAGAGGCTGAGACAAAAAACCTGCGAAAATCCTTTGAAAAACTCGTCTGTTTCTGAGAGAGAAACTCTGTAACACTCTGTAATACGCTGTTGCCCAGAAAATGGCCTCGTCTTCCCGTGGTCTGCTCACTCTTTTTCCCGACCTCAACGAGTCAACAAGAGAGATAACTGGTGCGGGTGCCCGTGAACCTCAACCAAGTGCCCCTGAGTTTGCTCCGTTGAACTTTCCGATGCGGTCGGTGTAGCAAAGAATGGCAGTGCAATCGGATGTGGAGGCCAATCAGTATACATTGAAGTCATGTGTAGAGACCATGACTGCGGTCACAAACTTGTCGCACCGGCTGCAGAGTAGGACAAATGAAGTGCAGCAGTTAAACGCCCAACTGGCTCTGCTCCAGGGCATGTATAAGGATGCGCGTGCAGAGATAAGTGTACTAAAGGCGGAAAACAAGGAGCTGAAGCGGAAGGCCACCGTGATGTTCTGATTTGGAGGTCCGCCTTATGCTGGAGTGGAGGAGCAGGGTGGAGTGATCGTGCCCAGTGGAGTGGGAAACACGGAGGCAACACCGTCAAGGGCTGCCCAGGACAGAGGCAAGAAGAAAAGACCGGCGGAATAGGCAAAGAATTGTTTTGTTGTTGTTGTTGTTGTTGTTGTTTTTTTTTTTTTTGTTGTATGTGGAAACATGGTGATCGGGGGGAGTCCCGATATGAATAAAATGAGTTTGGTGTGCAGATCTTCCTGCGTCTTTTGTTTTGGTTTTTTTTTTTTTTTTTTTGACTCAGACCCATGTGCGCCGGATGGGTGATATGGAAAACATTTTGAGAGGTGGAATATAAAAAAAAATAATAAGAAGAGAAGGGAAAAAGAGTGATGCTCACGAACATAAAAAAATATATATAGAGATTAAAATAAAAAAAATGGAACGTGGGTGGAATAAATTAAGAAAAATGAGGGATATGAGTAAAGGGAGTATGGGGGAGAGAAAAAGGGACCAGAGAGAGAGGGAGTGGGTGGAGTGCATGTGTATCTGTCCGTTTGTTTTGTTTTGTTTTGTTTTTTTTTTTGTTGTGTTTGTTGTTTTGTGCTTCAACACCCCAAACCCGAGAGAGTGGGAGACAGCTGCCTCTAGAAGAGAGAGAGTTACGGAGGCATGGTGTGGGTTGTGTACTGAGAGAGAGAAGAGAGAGTTGGATTTATCAGTGTTGTGAGGTCAATGTCGTGGTGGTGGGAGTGAATCAGAAAAGGGTTTTGGTGGAGAGAATGGATTGGATAGAGAGATTGAGATTCCAACATTGCTATTGTTGCTGGTGTTGTTTCAGATTCAAGCAAAGGGGGTAGAGAATCAGGGGTGGCAGATGAAGAATAAGCCTCGAATAAGTAGCTTTGGCCACCAAACATTGCATTTCTCGTCTCTCATGTTCTGTGTATTATTCTGCAAAGCACCCATTCCTCTTTGAAGGAGTGACGGTAGGAGAAGTCACCGTGGAGACGGTACTCATGCATGACCCACTTGGCCACCAAACTAGGGTTTGAACTTTTCGTCGTGCGGCGGTCGTCTTGGAGAATAACGAGGTCGGCGTCGTCCCAAGAGTCGGGGGAGGGTGTGCCGGTGAGGAGGGACGGGACGAAGTCGATGCCGAAGAAGCCGAGGAGGTAGATGACGGAGGCGATTAGCGAGATGACGGCGGCGAGCTCGGAGAGGGTGACGATGTGGAGGGGCATGGAGTTGCAGATCTTCTCACGCCAGCGGGGATCTGGGGACTAGCAACCTAGTGTGCACAGGCTTCGTCGATAGCAGCGGAGACGGAGGGTTTGAAGCGAAGAAAGTCTGCTTGTTCCGTAGGGATGGATTTTCCTGGAGCGAGTGAGTCTTCCAATTGGAGGATGTGAGTGGTCTTCTTGCGGAGGGCACAGAGGCTGTGCTTTGGCGAGGTATGTGTAAAAAAAAATCTTAGCGGACTAGGTTGAGGTCCGGCGGACGACTAATGTGAGGTTGCCGCCCGCCGGGGAAGCGAAAAATATTAGGTGCTAAACCTGCTCTGATACCATATTAGAGTTGATGTATAGGGAAAAAGAGGGAAACAATTATGTATGTATTATTGATTGATTAATATTGATTGTATTGTATGTACATTATATAGGAGATGTAAAGTGGAGATGGAGTGGTGGAGTAGGTGAAGTGGAGGTGGTAGTGGTGTAGTGGGTTAGGTTTAGTGGAGTAGGTGAGGTGGTAGTGGTGTAGTGGGTTAGGTTTAGTGGAGTAGGTTTAACAAAAGTAATAAATTTTATAACAACAAAAATGTTACAGTACACACGATGTGTACTATAGCGATGAGATTTTATAACGTTAGTTATGATTTTTATGATGTTAATTATGAAGAAGGGGTGTCATAAATAAATAAGTAAAGTGAAAATATGAAATTTCATAGTTGATTACAAATTTATAATTTTCTATTTAAACATGTATGGTGTGAATTACTAATAGACATAAAGATTATGTGTTAGTACCTGAATGATAAACATGTATATGCCTCCGTTTGGGAAGTGGGTTGGCTTTTTGGCTTTTTTGGCTATTTTAGCCTGGGCTAAAAAGCTTGGTTTGGGAATGACTTTTTGGCTTTTTGGCTTTTTTGACTTTTTTTGTGAGAGAAGAATGTAATGATTATAGGTTGGATGTGATGTTTTGTTTGTTATGGCTAAAATAACCTATTTTGTTTTTTGTGGCTAAAATAGCCAAAAAAAATCTGAAAAAGCCCTTGCCAAACAGAGGCTATGTATTATGTCTATTAGTAATACATATATGTGAATTATGTATTACGAGTATATGTGAAATTTATGTGAATGATAAACCTGAATTACTATATGTGAAATTTAATTCTTGTGTGCTATCGTAATATATATATGTGAATTACTAATAGACATAAAGATTATGTTTAGTTCAGGTTTTAGAATTTATTTTGTCTATTTTTTAAAATTTATATATGTATATAATTAATTTGACAAAAATAAACATAAAAAAAGATATTTTTAAACTGTTAAAAATTTATTCA